GACCCTTTCGACAATGAGGTCCGTGAGAGGGAGTTGGAGGCGATCAACGAAATCGCCGCGCAAGAGCCGAAGCGCGAGGTTTTCCTGGAGACTGAAAAGGAGGCAAACCCCCTCTACCCCCTCGACACCGTCAAGGAGGAAGCAAAGATTTTGCAGATGATGCAGCCCGACATTCACGCGGCGACCGTCAGCGGCCTCAACGATGTGATTGATTGGTCTTCTTCTTCGGATGAGGAGGACCTGATCAGCTTCGGTCCCTGGCTCTCAGCCTAAGGTCAGCCGGCCGAAAGGCCAGGCCGTTGAGGTTGCCGCAGTGGATCCGAACGATATCGGTGAGGACGGCCAAATCAAGCTTATCCTCACTTCCAAACGGAAAAGTCATAACAAAATGACTGCAGCTCTCAGTGCTGCGACACCAAAGGTGAAATCAAAGGCAATGCCAATGCCTGCTGCCTCATCCAGCGATCAGGCGCCCGTGGCTGGGACCAGCAAGACTCAGCCCGGAGAGATCCGTGGCCCGGACAACATCCCCAAGGCGAAGGCAGTTTCCAAAGCTGCTGGAAAGCCCGGGGAGACCCGTGGCCAGGCTGCTGAACCCAAGAGGGAGTGGATCAAGTGCTCAGGAATCAAAATTCCCCAGATCCAGAACTATGGCAGAAGGACATTCTTGAGCAAGAAGGTGTCGTATTTGATTCGCGGACATGCCCACGAACACGCGACGCGATCCATCCCTGAGATCAATCTCAAGGACAACTCCCTCGACTACGCAGCCGTTGCCAAATGGATCCAACGCCGATATGACTGGAACTGCTCCCAATACACTCTTCTTCAGGCCACGTCCACATCGAATCGGTTCGAGGTCTATGTCGAGTACGCGCCGGCCGGGCAGCAATGGAACGGACTCAGTTTCATGCCACTACGCATTCGCGCTTTCACCGGCCACAACGATTGGGTGACCGAGGCCAGCGGCTTTGACAACATTCCTGGAGATCCCATTGCAATGGATGTCAATTACACCATCGAGCACGCAAAGAAGGGTGTGCGACCGGGCTTCTGCAAAGATTTCTCGGACGCACGCCGAAAGGCGCTGCCCAAAATCGCCTACCACACGTGCAACATGCAGAATTTCTTTGACATCATCTACATGGGCATCTTTCCGGGCGGAATGGGAGACCGGCAAACCTCGCGTGGTCACGCCTACCTAACGGTGGTGCCTCCTTGGGACAGGCACGGCCGGAAGGCGGGGGGTGCGCGTGCTGACCGACCCATCAACATCGCCGTCGACGTGGAGATGTTGATTCAATTGGGATGTCGG